GGAAAGAAGTAGTACAGTGAATACTTACAGGATGAGAAATTCTGCCTAGCAAAAAGTGAGTCTGAGTGGTAATTTAGTATTACCAACTATAATGAACATCCTCTGTAAAATGCTATGACTCGTACAAGGCTAACTCGATCCTTGAATGAGTGAAACAGATGGTTTGATTCAGAAAAGTGCTGTTACCTGAATCCCTAGTACTGGTAAGGCTACTACTGAAATATTGATCCTATATTTCATATCCCAGGTGAATGTAGGAGAGGTCAGAGGGGCCACAGAAATTATCAATGGAAAACCAAACCGTATTGTATGAAAAGTTTTTAGAGTACACATCTATGTGGTCATGTGCAGTCAGTCATGGATTAATGTGAGTTAGCTATGGGTTAGGTGGCAAAGGAGGAGCTAGGTCTGACCTGAACTGTACATCTGTGAAACTGGTGGTTTTCCTACCTGTGTCGATGTAGTGGGAAAGGCCCAGCCCTACGCTGTTACGATGCCACATGTCCTTGGACCAGAAGTAGCATCCGTTGTGCTTAATGAAGAAGACGCATGGTCAGTAGAGATGTTGATTACTTTGACACTTTTTCATTGAAAGCATGTTTGCTAGGGTGATGCTTCTTATCTTGTTATCCTTGCAGAGTCAGGGAGGAATTTCTCCCCTCTGATATGTATCTTAGTTTCTGTGTGCACTTTTTTCTTTTCTTTTTGCATCGTCAAAGGTTGACCATGGCTGAATAGGTTACTAAACGAAGCAAACTGGTATTCTGCCACTCTGTAGGAACATACTTGAAGCATCTGGTTAGTACGCACTGGGCATGTAGGTAGGGTTGGATTGATTTCCTCCAAGTCACTTTGGTAGAGATTTGGACGGTTACTCACCTTACCATCAAGCATAGGTCACAACTAACTTTCTGAGATCATTTGGCTGTATCTCATACAATCATTTCCCTATATCACAGCCTTTTGGGGGCCTCTCAGTCTCTTCTGCTTCCTGCCTGAGGCATGTAATCTGTTTTATTGAAGAACAACATGTATTCTGTCACTGAAGTATCTAAGTTTGTTATTCAGACTTTGTGTGGACACTGGCTCGCTCTTGATACATAGAAATCCAGCTGTTGCAATTTAGTGGTTATAGGAAAGTTGATGTTTAACAAGTAAAATTTTAAAAGAAAAAACACTCCTCTCCCTGTAACCTTAGAGACACCAGACTGGGAACGTGTAATGAAATGTATTCATTATAATACTCCATAAATATTTCCCCCCACATGGAAACAGACTAGGGGAATGCTTATCCTTCACACTTAAAAAAATAAAAGATGATCCTCACCCAAATGCAGTGATGCTGAAAAACATTTAAGGATCACTGTGCGTAACCAATTCAAATAAAAAAAAAAGATAGGACAAGCCTAAAAGTGTGAGTACCAGAATAGGACAGTAACATTACATTGTATATTGGATGAAACATTATTGTAAAACCAAATACTGCTCAGGTGTCAGTATTTCTACGAGTATTTAATATTATTTGGTTTGGTCTTAGAATCAATTTCAAAGTAGGTCTGAGAAAGGATTGTTTATAGTGAGAAAGCAAATAATTTTTTATATAAATTATTTGGGAGAAAGCTAAGTGAGTTCTTAACGTGAAATACGTAGAATCAGAAGTTATCTTTTACAGTAATTATCATGTTAATATAGCAGAAAAAAACAAAAGAAAATACACTGTTTGGATGTTGAAGCAAAACAAATTCAGACAGAAAAAAGTGAAGATTTTTAATACCAGGTAACATTAGAGGATAATTGGATTAACAGCTGTCTGTCATTGGCTTTTAAAATCAAGACTAGATACTTTTCTGTGAATGGATCAGATCTCAGACAGATGTTTGCCAGAGCAACATCTTCAGTCTTTGTTACACTGGTGATCAACTGAGATAATCAGAGCAGTTCTTTTTACAGTGAAAACTTACTAATTTCCTAAATACTTGGCTACTGAATATCTGCTACTAACACTAAAGTATTCACACAGGTATTACAATGCTGTTCCTACAGGGTGAGGGTCTAAATGTATTTCAAAATGAAGGTTGCTGTCTAATTCCAGACAGGGCTTAGATGTGCATGGTGCATCCAGCAGGGATTTACATGCTGCACAGATTATTTCCTATAAATCTATGTAATTATATTGTAATTTTACAGGGCGGTTGTGCAGTAAACTGAACACTCTCACTGTGTATACAGACATGAACAACACACTCATGAGAACACAAATTTTTTAAAGTCATAGCACTGCTTTTGCTTTTATTGGCATACTTTACCTTTCACTGTAAATATATTGTTTCTTGCTTTTGACAATTATCTGCATAAAAAGATAAAGTAAACATGGATATGGACACTCCAATGAATATTTTTTAAAAAGAACTCCCAAGTTTACAAAGTACAGAGAGGAGATTTTCTTTATGAGCTACTTAATAGTTTCATTATCACGCAACAGTAAAAGTAAAAGCTCAGTAACTACGATTTCTGTATTGCAGTTTCGGAAAACATTACACAATTAATTCCACATAATACTTCCAAAAAGTCTGTTTTAATCACAAGTATGTTTTAGGAGTGTTAAACAGCTTCAGAATACCAAATGCATGCCAGGTACTTAAGTGACTAATTGTAATAAGGGTGTTACATTCTTCTCTTCTACCACAGTTAGTAACTTAGAAACTACAAAGAGTTCCATTTCAAAGTACAACTACCATCTAGCTGACTTTTTTCCCCATAGGTAATCGTGTCTTCTCTGCAATACTTTAACTGAAATCTGGATATCAAGAAAGAATGTATGTTCTGTGCTGTTGGAAAGAGTATCTTTTAATGCCTTTTATCTTAAGCATCAGAGATTCCCAAAGCTTCAAAAAGTCTGGTTTTTAGAGTTAACATCCATTAACTGTTGTGTAAAGAGGGTCTTTCTAATAATACAGGCTTGTAGTTTCTGTGTTTTGCTAGCATGACCTTTTCTGCAATATGCAACTATAAATGGTTGCATATTGCAACTTGGGAATATGACACACAGGAATTTAGACCTGTGGAGGGGAGAGAGAACTTCAGACTATCTTTTCCGCTTCCAAGTTATGATCAGCAATACAGAGGTCTTCAGAAAACACGATTTTTAAACTTGTAAGATAACATTCCCCAGCTCTGCTCAATTGAACATTTTTGCCCTGTTAAATTCAATGCTAATTTTACAATCTTATAAACAATTATTTACACATGTTTAATTTTGTTTGCATGCTTGAAGATTCAAAATTTAATAACTTGTGAAATAAACAAAACAGAGGGCCTGGTTTTAGACCTTTTTCACTGGGCTGTGTTTTACCCTATGAAATTGAAGGTTGCTTGAGGTACTACAATTTATTTCATACTTATGTACTTAGTTACTGTCACTAGAATGAATGATTGTTCTTTTATGAATTTAATAAAAAATAACAACTTGTCTAACAAGATGGGCTATTTTATAAATAGTGTGTAATTTCTCGTATAGGTCTGTTTTCCTGGGCAACGTTCAGTATATATTTCCTTCTGTTGCTAAAACTAAACAAAAGCTATTAGGGAATGCTGCACAGAAATTCAGCCTTCCCAGTTTGGTTGTGGAGGCTGAAACTTTTCTCCTTCCAGTTTATTCTTTGAAATTGTAACTCTCTCTTGCATTAATCCCAAAACCTGAAGTGCTTACAGTTAAGTGATGAAAATTTTGTGTCCTGTTTTTTCTCTTTTTTGAGGGTCTTACAGATTTGTAAGAAAGGCGTGCTAATTATGATCAGAATTATGTCAGTGTTTTCCTACCTGTGCTTTTGTAAACGTACATACACTGAATAATACATTGTAAAATTTATTTGTGTTATTCTAACATTAGTGAAAAATGGCCCATTTTTTTTCAAGTGAGTAAAATGAATAGCACGAGAAATGGTGAAAAATTTTGTGCTAGCATTAGAAATGTTTGACATCTCTCTTAATGTGTTATTATTGCAAGTATATAAGAACTGCAGTCTACCGTGTTATACAGCAGATGCTTTAGATGTTGCACAGAGGAATGTGCAGCAGCTGAAACTAATGAGATTAACTATCTTGACTGATAAAATTAAAAAAGCCTATACTTCTAACTAACATTCATAAATATTCACATCTAATTGAAATCACATCTACATAAAAATGCTGGTGTCAAATAGAACTGATGGGTTTTACTTTCCCTTAGCATAAAGTATACTATGGGAACACGGTAGATCAAGAACTGGGTTTCTGCTCACATAAGCATAGGTTTCTCTGCAGATGCAGTACTCGATTAGGTGTAGAAATACTATGTCACATCATTATTGGTTACCTGTAGGGATTAAACCGTATTTTGATTGGCAACTATTATTTTTAGTACCTTATACATTTGCTCATGGCAGAAAGGTAAAGAAATACTTCAACAATCATTTCACTTTTTACATCACCATCAGCAAGGCAGAGCAGACTGACACTTCCCTGCACGATTTTGTTGTTGCTGTGGTAGGTTGGGTTGGTGCTGAGAGGTACCTGTGTTCAGCTCAGTTGCTAATACCTAAACAAGCCCAGAGCTGAGAGTGGCTGGTGCAGGGCTGGGGAGCCTCGCAGCGGCCATTTTGCTTTCCGTGTGCTGTTGGTAGAATCAGCCGGGGCTGTGTTTCCCAGGCAGTTTGAGTGGTGCTGCGCTCCCAGCTGACCGGTCTCTTCGGGTCTTAGTGTCCCATCTGTAAAATGGGAGTAGGACATTGTTTCCTAATTCAGCCACGTGCAGGGAGGACAAATACATTCTTACGGTCTAAATGGTTCAAACCCTGCAGCAACACCCAGGCTGAGAAGCCAGGCTTTCTTTAGCTCCAGAGAGGCATCCAGCCATAGCCAGCTGGAGGTCTCTGCTAACCTTTTCACCCTTCTGCTCATTGTTTGCTGTTGCAGTTTGCGATGTGTGCTTTCCTTTCAAGTAACTTCTTTCTCTTTTCTAGTTTGAGGGTTGCAAGAAAGCCTTTTCCAGACTAGAAAATCTCAAGATTCACTTAAGGAGCCATACGGGTGAAAAGCCGTACCTTTGTCAGCACCCTGGCTGCCAGAAAGCTTTCAGCAACTCCAGCGACCGCGCCAAGCACCAGAGGACACACTTGGACACTGTAAGGAAGCAGACGTCCCATTGTAGTCCCTTCTACATTAGATTGTGTGCTCCTTTCCTTCAGCTTGGTGGCAGCAGGTAGCCCATAAGCTTAGAGATAGGATGGAGAAGTGTCTGATGAGGCTGTCTAAGCTGTTTCAGAAGTAATGTAAGCATGGATGAAGATGGGCCAATTAGTTGATACACAGACCACAGCTCCATGGGCTTTCCTGCAGGTAGAGGTAGTAACTTTCTCCCACTGATCATTAGGGAACCTGAAGACACAGAAGCCATCACCCATAATAACTGCTCTTCTCTGACAAAAACTCATTTAAACTTAAGGCTGGTGCATGTACCAGAGTGTCAAGAGAGGAAGAATTATTTTGGAAATCTAAAAATTTTCATGCTAACAAATTGTTGCTTGAGAATCTGAGTCAGCTAAGATTTGTTGAAAAGCTTTTGTTTCATAACAAAAGATCATGTTTCAGCAAAGACAAGCAGTTTCTAAAGGGCAGAAGTCCAGAAAGAGAAGGAGAACAATGCCATTTGAATTAAATGGCTGTCACAAAACTTAAATTATCCCTTTCGAATAGTCAACAGTATGGCTGGCAAGTTAATCATTTGTACGAGGTGTTTTCGGAAATGCTTTGTGAAATGCAAATGGCTAAATTGCAAAACAACTAATTTCAGCAAACGGACCTAATGTTCATTTAATACTTTGTACTGTGGACCTACAAGTCTTGAGGGAAGACAGACAGGTTAGAACAGGCAGAAGGAAATACTTATAGAGATTTATATTTATTTGGTGAGTTAAATCTATTGGGCTTTCTTTTAAGAAGACTATAAAGGTAACATTATAAAGCTATCTTTCTAAAATGACGTGTTGTTAGAAAAGGTGAGCTGAAGGAGTTTGTCTTGTACTTCACATTAAAATGTATATTTTTGTGTGTAATATTTTTGAAACTTCAGTATTCAATGCTTGCTCTGGTTTTTGCTTGGTCTCTCTTTGTAATCTAGTTGACTAACACTTTTTCTTGTTCTCTTTTTCTGAAGCAGATTCTTCTGTAATCCTAAACAGTCTATCTGGGCCTTTACTGCAGTTTCTTTACCCGATTCACTAAAGAATGTAATTTCTGATTAAGTCAAAGATTGCTCTGAGGGTGGAAGAATTGTGAGTATAACTAGCGATATTCATTGTACTGATTACCAAAAAAAAAAGGTAACAATGAAAGGTGCCATAATGAAAACTTTCGTTTGGTTCATCTTCCTTATAAACCTTACTTTCCTACTTTCCCTTTCTAAAAGTTACTGAGCATTCTGCTGGTAGTAATGTACAACATTTGTGTTCTGTAGTAACATGGTTTGCAGCATCCCAAGGCTCAAAAGGGATTCTCTTGAGTTAAAATAATCTGTGATTAACAGCTGCTTTGTCCTTTTTCTTTTTGACTTAGAAACCTTATGCGTGTCAGATTCCAGGATGTACTAAACGATACACAGATCCAAGTTCCCTGAGAAAGCATGTGAAAGCCCATTCTTCCAAAGACCAACAAGTCAGGAAAAAGGTAAATTTTCTACCGTGTTGACTGGTGTAAAGCTTACGTGGAGACATCAGTGTTCTAATATTAGATGTTTCAATGCATCTGTGCTGATTTCAGACTGTTGATTAGGAAAAAAGTTAATGGGAAATAATAGATACTGTTCTTACATAGATGGTAATTTCATCTTTAACTTAATGAGGCAGCCTGCTTTAATGCTTTTTATTTTCTGACGTGATGATTAATCACCAAGCATACATAATGAGGCAAATACAAATAATTTTTGAAAACAGAAATTTTTGTTTTTAAAATTCTGCCACTTGGTAAATATATAGTAATACAAAATCCAGTTTATATGGCCAGTCTCAGATGGAAGGATGCCCCTGAAAAAGGGCAGATGGACAGTAGGTGAGGTTAAGCTCTAAATTATATTCTCATATGCCAGACAACTCCAAATACCAAGACATTTCACAGCTCTGGTTCCCTGTGGATGTCAAGTCCATAAGTCAACAGTTGTTTATATGTATAAGCACATCTTTGAAGAGCTGAGTTGCGACCTAAGGGAATGATTATTTTTATTGAGCATTTTTCATCACATCTTCTATTAATCACTGGCACTATTTCATTAGGTTGTAGCAATCATTGGGGATAAAAATCTAAGCTTTCATTTTAAAGGAAACTGGTCCCAGTAAAAGGGGAACATGCATGAACTGATGTAGGGATAGATAAACCTCTGAGTTGTCAGCTCCACGTGAAAAGTTATAGTTTAGAAGTTTTAAAACAAAATGCACAGCCATTCATAGCAAGTAGCAAACAAGTTGCTTTGTGCAGCATTGGAAGCACTAAGTGGCACTCTTTGAAGCTGCGGTGTACAAACTCAAGGATTAAGTTTTGATTCAATGGTTTGTTGAAGCAGGACGTGGCAGCAAAGACCCTCATGTCAGCCTCTGAGGAACTGCCCTGGAGTAGTATTGAGGAATTTCCTTTAAGTGTATGAGTGCCCACTCCTGTATGACAGACGAAGTAACTGAGCATTCATTTGCACCTTAATAAGTAGTGCTTTGGCTCCCTTGCTCCTGCGCACGCTGCCCACAGGCAGGACTGCCGAAGGGTGTCTGAGCTCTGTCCTGCCCGTCCCAGGAGGGCAGCTCAGTTTTTTTTTTTAAAAAGCCTGTAAAGGCCGATCAAGATGTTGCATTCTGAGAAATTTGTGTGTGATGCCTCAGCTAAAACTGATACAATGGAGCTGAATATAGGTATTAAACTGCTCTGTAACATTTTGTCAGATGGCAGTACTATGTGGGATTTTCCTTCCTGCATTTCATTCAGTATTTAATTTTGCTCAATTTCCATTCCTTCCAAACAGTTTAAACCTGGCCCTTTTTACTCCTCGCTTGACTCTCTGTGGGCACATTCTAGACTTAAAATCGCTTATTTTTTTATCTCTATCTGATAAGGATTTATTTATGCTCTTGGTCAGCTGAGATACATTGGTATATGGAAGGGGAAATAAGCCAAACCTCCATAAAAAAAAGAAAAGAAAAATTGTGGCATCTATCAAGCCAGATACTTAAAGCATGGATAAAGTTTGCAATGTATAATGTTTACAAGGTACAGCATAGTTACAGGACCTTTGAGAATTTATAATTGCTAGCTAACATCATGCTTTGGTATTTGAAATATTTCCTGGTAGTAATAATAATAAAAACTAAGAAACAATAAACCTTTTAATGCAGAATTAAGGTTATTTATGGCTTTAATTAAAAGTGAAAATTGGCTTAGTGTCAAAAAAACTCTTTACAAAAATGTGAATTCATCAAAAATAACCATAAAAATTCCAAGGTGGTAAAGGCACAGTGGAGTAATACTTCCAGCCCTAGGGATCTATTCTGTTGAAAAGAATGAAACCCTTTGCTGTCACACCCCGTTAGTCATGGATTCATTTAATATATCATGCCTGACTGCTTTTAATCCTCCTTTTAACCTCCCCCTACACACCAAGTGACATTATTGTGGTGTCTTAAGTTGCTGGCTCTCCAAGACTGTACCTGCAAATGTGTCTTTGATGTTGCGTAGACTTAAAATAACAGGATGAAGTATATTCATAATAGAGGAATCAGCTACTTGCTGTGCTAAACATTGCACTGAGTCTTCAGCTCAGATTTTCTAGATCTGTCTTCAAAGCATTGACCCTTTCCTTGTCCCTCTAAGATGGGGCCAGATTATGCAATGTGATATAGATAAATTTCCATCGTTGGATTATTTTAAGCAACTTTTGTTGATACATGCTTAAGGCTTACCATGTAAGGCAGAAATGCCTTTTCTGCAAATCTTGCAAGGCAGTCACTGTTGCCCTTCTCCTCCCAACCTCCAGCCTCTGGCCATTCACCAAATACATTTAACTGGGAATCTCTCCAGGTAATGGGATGAAATTATATAGACCAAGAAGACCCCACCACAAATACATTTAATGCAAGCAGTTTAGTGCATAGTACAGTAAACTTTCATTTCAAAGGAAAGAAGAAGAGTAAAAAGAGCCACACTTGCTTTAATAATTTTTGTGCAATTTGTAAAGTTCTTCATAAACATGAAGGCAAACATGTACACAAATACCATGCAAACACCTGGGAACAGATGCTGAAAATGTCTAGTAAAACATTTTAGGTATAATCTCTATGCATCATAGTATTCAGTCTGTACTTTTAAAATATTTTGGTGGGATAAAAATCTGTGCTTCCTATCTTATTTTAAAAACTTGCTGACTGTGCCTAGATTTCATCTTCCCTTGGGGAAGACGGATGGAGCTCCTTCTAAGCAAGGAAATCAGTGATAGAAAACTAGACAGCACCCAAAATGAGAGCATAAAGTGGTACTGAGAGGAATGCTAATGCACAACATGCCCCTGCACTACAGTTACTTTTACAACCTGTCCTCTTCTTAGTCATCTCCTCGTTTCGAAAGGACAATGAACTGAAAAGATTTTTTTGTAAGTTGAACAGTTACCATGCGGTGCTCATTACCACAACTTAAACAATGAAAGCTAAGAGCCATGTAGGATTGAAAGGAAAGTGGATATTTCTGTGGGTAATGAGACAGGGTTAAAAAATAAATGTGAGATTTACAAGGGATATCAGTGCTTCAAGATCATGCTTCAGGATAGAAGTGGGCATCAAGCTAAATAGATTAGGAGAAAGCAGAGTTATTCCGTACCACTTATTTGCTGTTTCTCACCCTTTCTCCTGAAATGCCAGCTGCTAGTAGACATAGTGTACATAACTTAAAGCAGTCTGGATGGATGTTGGGTCTGATCTGGAGGAAGCATCTGCTTCTAAATGGATACTTTAAAATAACCTTCAGGCTTCCTAGCCTTAATTTATGTGTTCTCCTGCTTTTTTCATTCTCTCATTCCATTTTTATAATCCTTTTCTCTTTCAGCTTCATTTCTTATTCTATATTCCACCTTTGTAGCTTTTGGGTCTTTAGGATATACAATCCAAACTGAATATCTGTTGGTGGCTGAGGTTCATACGCCATGGTAAGACCAGTACCAGTACTTTCTTCCACCCCAGATCCTTCTGTGTCCTCTCATCTTGCACCCTGTTTCTTTCCTCCATTTTTTCCATATGCAGAGTTCAACTAAATTGTCACTTTACAAAGCATATTGGTACATACAGGCAAATGCCATTCAAACATGCTATGTGATTGCTAATCTTTATCTAGCTTGACCTCATATTACTTTAGGATCTCATGAACCATTTGCCTTTTCTTTTTGTCTCAAAACAAAAATTACCTAACAACTGTTCAGCTTTTTCAATTTTCCATGCATTTTCAAGGCAGACCAGGACCTGAAAGAGAAATTAGTGGTTTTTTTTCCTTTCGGGAATCTCTAAAATGGAGAGAAATCCACTTTTTAGCTGAGTCACTTCCTGAACTATACCTTTTATATGAAGAGGGGCTATAGTAGCCTAAACTGATTGTTTCCCAGAAGGAATGGTAAACATACAGGATTTTTGAATGGAAAAGACAAGGAGGAAAAATTCATGAATTGAAATTATTATTCTATTTCTTCTTTCAAATACCTAGTACAAAAAAATTTGGTTACTTGGCTTGCTTTGTGGAAGTTCAGAGAATCAGAAGAAAAGGTTAGGTAAACAGAAGAACGAGTGAGGCAGATATTTGCTTCAGCTAATCTTCATATTATTTATTCTTCTTACAAAACACTAACACTGTTTTCTGACTTCATAAAACCTGAAAACCATTTATACATTGATACTTTTCATTCTGAGTATAGGCTGGCTCTGAAAATTGCCAGCCTATGATATTAGGTTTAGCTGCTAATGGTAGAAATATTATCTACATGAAGTTAGGGTGAATCATTATGCCTCTTAGATTCTATAGTTCTTATTTGTAGAATTGTAGCTTTAACAAGTAAGGCTACAGTTGGGAGCTTTGCTTTGGTATCTTCAACAGGGCTGAGTAATTTTGTTCCTTGAGTCATCCTGTGGAGTCTCTGTGGAGTCAAAAAATAGGGCACTACTTGACACAAGTAAGCTTATTTTCAGTTGGTTATAATTTGTGTTTTCAGTAAACAGCAAATTTCTTTCATCTGTGAACTGATGATATTTGAAAATATGAATCCATACCTCTTTTAGTTTGTAAGTAAGTGTTTTTATTGAAGTTAGTGAAAATGAAATTATGCAACATATCATTAACAAAGTCCAGAGCCTGCACTATTACATATCTCGTGATTTGAAACCAACATAGAGGGTGAATACTACCACTGTGCTCTTCATGAAGATCTGTTTGTTGTGTGAGCTATCAGTCAGCTTTGTACAAGTACAGGAACACTATTTTTTTCATACAAGTATATCATGAAAAACAATTTTGGTATTTCTGCAAGAGTATTGCTGAAGAAATCTTTATTTCTAAGTTTAAAGAAAATATTTAATTCACTTTAAAGTATTACAGTACAAGTCCAGCTGTGAGTGGAATGCATCCTCCACTGGCTTTGTGTAGATCTTTTCATG